GTGAAGGCCCTTGGGTGTGTATGGGTGTGTCTGTTCCAATGGCTATCAGGTACTGCTGGCACCATCCCGGGCAACCTGTAGTGCAGGGCCCTGGAAGCAGGCGGGAAGATGTACAGAGTGGGGAGATTACAGCAATGGTAGATGCTGGGGGTGGGTTTTCGAGGCTTACTTGCTGCCATCATTACATGGAGTCTGAAACAGGCACACAGTTCAGAATGAAGTCTGGAGCTAATGGTAATGAGAGAATGCTTTTGGGGAGTGGTGGTGGGGAAATCTGTCCTATCTGCTGTTAGTCCCAGACTTTTTCCTGTCTCTCAAACTATGACAACCATGTGACCATAGAAAGTCTATAATGTGGGTCCAGGGTGAGAGTAAGAGTACAAAACACTGATTACATACAGCAAGGCGCCCCTAGTGTGACTCTTGCTAGATGTAATCCAGAGATGACCTATTCACTGAGAGGCACAGAGAATAAAAGATACCTTCGCTTATTGTTTTTCAATCGCCAAAACAAACAAACATCATTTACCCAGAAAACCTGGCCCTAAAAGCTCTCCTTTAGTAAGGGGTCTCCCATTTGTAGGTTAAGATCACCCACAATTCCTTGAAAGATGCAACCACAGAGAAAACTTCAATGATCCTTTGATCATAATAGCTTACACTGATATAGGCAGGTAGGTGGCAGTGGATAGAAGGCTAGATCTAGAGTCAGGAAGACTGGAGTTCAAATCCAGACTCACACTAGCTGGGTGACCCTGGGAGAGACACTTAACCTCTGTCTGCCTCAGTTTCTTCTTCTATAAAATGGGGATCATAACAGCACCTACCTCCTAGGGTTGTTGTGAAGGTAAAATGAAATAATATTTGCAAAGTGCTAGGTTATTATATGATGATGATGATATAGTGCTAGCTATTATTAGTATATATATTACAAATTATATAGGTTTTGCAAAGTGCTATTTATCTAAATCTAGTTATGTACATATACATATATGTATTTGTACACACATATATGTATACATATATATCTAGATATCGCCATCTATCTATCTTAGTTCATTTTATCCTCATAACAAATTGGTGAGACAGGTACTATAGGTATATCATCCCCATTTTACAGATGAGGAAATTGAAACCAAGAGAGATGAAATGCTTTGCCTATGGCTACGCCATGTAGAAGGTGTCAGGATTTGAACTGGGGTCTTGACTCTAAGAACATTCCTTACACTTCTCCTTGCTTCCTTCCCTATAATTAATATCAAATAAAGCATAAAACAGGAAAATACCTGCTGGCCAAAGGCATTTTTCAGCATCATCGAGGATATCATGTCCAGAGTCTATCCTGTCTGATATAGTTATTTACATGTCTCCCCCATTAGACTGTGAACTCCTTGAGAAGAGGGACTGTCTTTTGTTTTTCTTTGTATTCCCAGCACTTAGCACAGTGCTTGGTATTCAGTTGACACTTAATAAATGTTTGTCAACTGACAAATTGGGGTTCATTATGATTCCTAATGTTTTTTCAGATAATCTGTCTATAGATGACACCCTGTCAAGTTCTGAAATACTATGGGGTCTCCTCAAGCTATGTAAGAAATTACCTTTGCTATCCACACAGGAAAAACCAAGTGGATAAAGATGATCTATTTCACACATTATGATAATTAGGTGGATGGGCAGCAAATGGACTTTGGCTATCAATATACATCCTTGGACGGACAGTACAGATGGAAAAGGAACTGGATCCAGAATGAAAAAGGTGGAAGAAAGCAAACTGGATTACATTTGGATGGCTATACTGTGCTTTCAATAATCATCTGCTGCTACCTGACAGGAAAAAAACCCTTCTTTTCAATGCCAATACATGGCTGATGCACTATGATTGCAAGTTACAGAAGACTGCTGTACTCTACTTGTAATTTCAGATCAATCAAAACTGCAGGTGACCAAATGGCATATGTTGGTAGGGTGCATTTCACCCAAGATGACAATGACAGCAACTTGTGAATGACTTAATGAATCTATCAAAGGCTGAGCAAGGAGCAATGAGTGTTGCCATCGACTATTCAAAAGATACAAAGGAAGGCTTCTAGTGTGTTGGGGAGATCCTCTGTGGAGGATAAGTGGAAGATCAAGAATTGTTAATGATAAACACAGATGAAGAAAGTTGTAATGACTACTGCTAGTGCAATGACCCTCCATGTTAATGAAATCATAGAGAGCTGAAATAATGAAAGTGAACAAATTTGTCAAATCAGATGACTATGTACGTGAATGGTGATTCACATGGGCACAACTGATGATGACAGGAGGAATCTAAAAGAGTTTACTAAAGATGACCCAATCTTTGGCAAGAAATGGAAGACCTCAGGGGCGCAAATGATGTTTTCATCTGTGCTGCTGATCAAAGGCAAGGGCAGATTTGTAAGTACATAGCTGGTTAAGAAGATGGTACCTGAGAATGGGATTAGGGGTTCTGGGCCACTGCTTAAAATATGGCAATGACTGGCTCCTAGTGAGGGATGGAGTGCACCTGACAAGGTCTAGTAAGAAAGTGATTGCCTGGAATCCTTCAATTCAAATAAAAAAGTCTTGAAATTAACAAGGAAGGGAGGGGGAGAAAGGGAAGAAGGAACATCTATGGTACAACGAGAACAGGAGGAGAAATGATCAGCAGTTCCCAAGAGATAGGATTCAAGGCAGGAACTAACAATAAAACTCATGGCCTTGAATATATATACATAAATACACAAAGTTTGGATAACAAGAAAGCTGAATTTAAATCAATTGGCATCTATCT